GTATGACAAAGTTAAAGCAAATAAGGCCTTTAAGAACCATATTGTTAGAAAATCACTGTTTAATGTCTGGACAAAATATAAAGACTTGCTGGAAAATAAAACACCAAGGTGGCTTTCACCTTTGGAAGCTAAGGCCCGAAAAGACCCAATATGGAGGCCAAATGGCCAAAATATTGGGAAATACTAGAAAAAGATGGAGACAATTGGAAATTGCAGAGCTTGGAGAAAATGAAAGACAAAGTGCGAGATTGGTTACACTATGCCCAGATTAAAGAAGTTTTTAAAAGTGATAAGAAACTAGGGTTCCAGGTGGAGAAATCGAAATTAGAAACAGAATTGTTAGAACCAAAGACTAAGATACTTTCAAGGATGTATAACTTGCTGTTGGAATGGAATACACAAGATGAAATGGTTAAATCGGCTATGATAAGGTGGGCACAGGATATTGGGTATAATATTATGTTTGAGGACTGGGAAAGGCTGTGGAGTAATGGATTGAAATTTACTGCATGTAATGCTTTGAAAGAAAATGTAATGAAAATGATTTATAGATGGTATATGACCCCAGTCAAACTCGTAAAAATTTACCACCTGTCTGATAACAAGTGCTGGAAATGCAAAGAGTGTGAAGGAACGTTCTTTCACCTCTGGTGGACATGCCCTAAAGTGAAGGCGTTCTGGGAAATGATTTATAATGAATTGAAAAAGGTATTTAAATATACTTTCACTAAGAAACCAGAGGCCTTCCTTTTGGGTATTGTCAGCCAAGGGGTGGCAAAGAAGGACCAGACATTTTTAATGTATGCAACAACAGCAGCAAGGATACTACTCGCAAAACATTGGAAAACCCAAGATCTACCCACACTGGAAGAATGGCAGATGCAACTGATAGACTATATGCAACTGGCTGAAATGACTGGCAGAATCCGTGACCTGGGAGAAGAGAGAATCGAGGAGGACTGGAAGAAATTTAAGAACTACCTACAAAAACATTGTGATTTGATTGAATGCTGAATAAGATGCTGGACTAAATAACTGAGCACCACTTAACTTAGAAATTTTTAAGGAAACAAGAAAAGTTGTGAAAGTTTAACTCTTTATGAGAACTTTAAGATTATGAAATATCGAAGAGATATAAGAATTTAAATAAGATGATAAATTGCTGACAAAATGTTATAATGATGAAGGTGGGAGCGGGAGATGTGAGGAAGTCCAAAGAAAATGTGAAATTATGTTAAGACGAATGCTATATTGTTTATTACATTTATTCCTATTGTAAAACCCAATAAATTGCTTTAAAAAAAAAAAGAAACTGCCCACATTATTTTTAATGGGCTAAGCTTAATTTAAATTCAATCATATTCTGAAACAAGATTTGTGGAGGAGTGAAATGAAAAAAAGGTTCATTGACTGAAGAGGTGATTTTATTTATCTGTTTGATGACCTTAACTCGGTTAGAGCTGTTCTATACTCTCAGATTAATGTTACAAGAGAATTTAGAAAGATGTCAATTGTGGTTTGTAAAGGCCAATTATCAAGCGTTATTATGAACGGCCAGTATCACAATTTGCCTTTTGCAATTTGCATGGTTTCTTGGGAAACAGTAAAACCAAATGCTGAGTTGTAGATCTTACTCCTCAGACTCTAAGAGTACATCCATCTTCAAAATGATGAGCAATCCAATATTGAGCAATTCAGTAATCCAGGTCAATGCAATGCCAACAAGGGATAAAGGCTGTTTTAAAAATGAGTGAAATGAGGGTAAGTACAAGTGAGGGAGCATTTCAGAAGTTATCACCACATGACAGACATGTCCGGAGTTTTGGGCTGGGCTGCCATCAGTATGCTGAAGACACCCAACTCTATCTGTTGATGGATGGCCATCCTGACTCGGCCCCAGACACACTGATCAGATGTTTGGAAGCTGTGGCTGGATGGTTACATGGGAGTCGGTTGAAGTTAAATCCTTCAAAGACAGAGGTCCTCTGGCTGGGATGGGACAATATGGGATTGAGGGGGCAACTCCCATCTCTTGCAGGGCTGCAATTAGTGCCAGCACTGTCCGTTAAGAGTTTGGGTGTAATCTTCGATACCTCACTCTCCATGGAGGCGCAGATTACAGCTATAACAAAGGTGGCATTTTTTCATCTCCGCCAAGCTAAGCAGTTGGCTCCTTACTTTCTCGCCCTGACCTAGCCACTGTGATCCACGCGACGGTCACCTCCAGACTGGATTATTGTAACTCGCTTTACGTGGGGCTGCCCTTGAGACTGACCCAGAAACTCCAGCGGGTGCAGAATGCTGCGGCAAGACTCCTTACGGGGTCTTCGCTGCGAGATCACATTCACCTGGTGCTATACCAGCTGCACTGGCTCCCGGTGGAGTACAGGATCAGGTTTAAGGTGCTGGTTTTAACTTTTAGAGCCCTATATGGCTTAGGACCCTCATACCTACGGGACCACCTCTCCTGGTATGTCCCACAGAGGAACTTACGGTCTTCAAATAAAAACATCCTGAAGGTCCCAGGCCACAGAGAGGTTAGGCTGGCCTCAACTAGAGCCAGGGCTTTTTCGGCTACAGCTCCAATCTGGTGGAACGCTCTGTCACAAGAGACTAGGGCCCTGCGGGATTTGACATCTTTCCACAGGGCCCTTTCCACAGGGCCAGGACAGAGCTGTTCCACCAGGCCTTTGGTCAGGGTGCAGCCTGACTCCCTCCTTTGGCAATCTTTACAGAACTTAAACTTAATGGTTGCCATCAATTGGATTTTAATTAATTTTTATAATGAAATGTTTTTAGAATGTTGCACTATTTTATTGTTGTTAGCCGCACTAAGCCCGGCTTTGGCTGGGGAGGGCGGGATATAAATAAAATTCTATACACACACACACACACACACACACACACATATATACAATTTCAGAGAATATGGTAAACATTCAACACAGAATCTCCAGGTGTCCCTATTTTCCAGGGACAGCCTGGATTTACAGAAGCCATCCTGGTTTCTGATTTGATTCCAGTGTCCCATTTTTCCTTAGGACGTCCCTATTTTCATTGGAGAAATGTAGGCTGGTATGGTAGGATGTCCCTATTTTCATTAGAGAAATGTCAGAGGGTATGGATTTATATGACCCCTGGGCCAAGGGGATAAGTAAAAATACAACATTTAGAAAACATCTGAATGCAGCGTATATAGGGGAGGGTGTTTTTTTTAGGTTTAATGTTTTATTGTGCTTTTATATATGTTGGAAGCTGGGACAACCCAGTCAGATGGGCGGGGTATAAATAGTAACATCATCATCATCATTGCTGTCCCTATTTTCATGGAGAAATGTTGAATGGTACACCAACATTAGAAATCATATGTATTACTATTTAGGGTGATCATCATCAATGCTTACAGCTAAGAGCCAAGGTGAGCAGAAATGAGCTGTTGAAATTTTCAACTATGTTTAGGCAACAAAATTGGAAAGGAGCATTTTGCTGAAGTGTAAGGGAGACAAAATTCTCCCTTTTTAAATTTTATTTTTTTAAAAAAAAATTGTATGTGGGGAGGATAGGTCGTGCTAATTTGCATGAGGCTGATACTAGTTTCAACAACTACCTGTAGTTTTGCTCTGAGGATTGTGTCCTTCCTCAGTATGAGGCCTTGTGGGCAAAGTCACCCGGAGTGTGTTCCTGTGCTGCTGCCACCTCTTTGTGGAGCACAGCTTTAAAAGTATAGTTCAAAATTTCCTTAAAACTTTAAAGTTCAAAGAGAATTTTAAACTGCATAAATACATATTATTTCTCTTTGAGTGAGGTGCCCAGTGCCATTAGTATGCTGGTGACACCCACTCTATATTTCAATTGCTAAACATCCAGGCATTCCTATCTTTGTTCTGAATCAGTGTCAGAAAGCTATGGTCAGGTAGATGAGTGTTTACTAGGTGGTTCCAGACAAGTCAGAGGTGACTCTAGTAGGGTTTAGGATGAAGTGTTTAGGATTCCAGGGTAAGAAACTGAGATATCACCCATTTTGGAACAAGCAGCAGAATTTGGCTTCCTCTGTATCAAACATGACCAGCATTCTGCTGGTGGGGAAATAAGCCACACATTCAATTCTCTTTAGATTATATCTCTAGCTAGCTGTTTTTTGTTTTTTTTAAAAAAAAGACAGGTGGAAATAATAGTCATAGGTGCTAAAAATACCATTATACATCGAAGTTGCTTTTGTACCCATACCCAAAAGATGTGTACAATGCATGATTTTGAGTTAAAGTCTGTTCCTTCATTAAAACCAAGGAGCTTGGGACATAAGAACTATGACAAGCATGACCCAGAAAAGCTGTCTGAGGACAAACGCTGGCTCCCTCTGCCTGAAAGTGAGATGAGCGCCACAACCCTTTGACTGGACTTAACCATCCAGGGGTCCTTTATCTTTTCTACCTGTAAATCTTGGCCTTCTCCCAGGCTGCATTATATTGTGATGGGGAAAATTAATGATATCCCCCCAAAACCCTATAGATCAGTAATATGGAATAGGCAAAAAAGGATGAACTCAATCATGAATCAGTTTTGTTCACTAGGTGTAGCAGAAGGGTTGATTCCCAAGGAAGGCAGTTGTTATATTAAACCTTATTCTTACAGATAGACTCATCATAACTAAATATAATAGAAGAGAAACATCAGTGGATAAAAAATGTGTAGGCTGTGCTAATCTTATCAAAGCTCTGACACATTGTGTTAAATTAAGATTGCCAAATTAAGGGGGGGGGAACGTTTACAGGGCTTTGGGGGGGATGACACAGATGGATATAAAAGCATTATGTTATCTTCCTTCTGAACATATAAAAAAATAAAGTTTCTATTTGTTTTGATGGCAAGTTGTAACAGTAATTAAAATCAGGTTAGGTTGATGGTTTGCAAAAGAGATACTTGAATGTGTAAGCCCGCACTGGCTGAACTGCAGTTGTGTCAGTTCAAGATGGAGTCAGGACCCCTCCAGCTGCTTGAAGAGGTATCAAATCCAAACTCCTCCTCCTCTTCTTCTTCTTCCTTGCACATGCTTATAGGAGGAGGAGGAGGAGGAGTTTGGATTTGATACCCCGCTTTATTACTACCCTAAGGAGTCTCAAAGCGGCTCACAATCTCCTTTCCCTTCCTCCCCCACAACAAACACTCTGTGAGGTGAGTGGGGCTGAGAGACTTCAGAGAAGTGTGACTAGCCCAAGGTCACCCAGCAGCTGCATGTGGAGGAGCGGGGAAGCGAACCCTGTTCACCAGATAACGAGTCCACCGCTCTTAACCACTACACCACACTGGCTCTCAAATATAAGGCAAATATCTGTAGGGAGAAGAGTTTGGGAGGTTGAGGGCTCAGCGAAACAAATCAGGTTGTATTGTTGAAGACTCCCATAGGATCCGGAACCCAAATAATCCAGGGTTCCAGATCCCTAGGAAGTCCTTGCCCGCTCTTCTATACACTTCTCCCCTCCCTACAGAAGTTCACAGTGCATGCACTTAAATCAGGGACAATGCATGTGGTATGGTGGATATCGTGCCACTCCCTGCACTTACTTTGTTGAGGTGAGGAATTGTTTATGCTCCAATAGGGCTCTGCTGGTTGCCTTGGGGGAAAAAAATATTTGACATGACGCAAATGAATGATAAACTCCATTAGCTGTTTTTACTATCTGCCATGGGCTTTTTTCGTAAATCCCCTTTCTCACTTGAAACCTGCTGGCTAGCACTCTGCTCAGATCAATAGCTTACATTTAATAAAGATTATAAAAGTAATGTGCATCAGAGTCTACAATCTCCGAGGAGATTAATGTGTTAACAAATATGGATTTGGGTTTATTATATGGTGCTTGAGCATTCATAAGAGGATGATTACATATGATTTCTTAATTATAATACAGTAGGTTTTCACTGTATTGTGACCTCGGAGCACATACATATTTGTCTGTTGTACAACTCTTTTCTACAGGGGACTCCAGGGTGCATCAGGCTAACTAACGCAGACTGGGTTTGTTTTTATTTTTTCTAGCAGTGCATTAATTTGTTTAACTAACGTATCTGATCTTTACTGCTTAGTATTAGTGTTCAACATTTGGCTTCCTATTTCTGTGAGATATACATGTAACAAGGCCACTCCCACCCCCACCCCAAGTGGAACTAAACGTAATGGTGATCACGAAGTTGATCCCACAATGGCAGTCCGCTATCAAGTTCCTTCTTCTCTTCTTGCAGTATTTAGTTACATGTGGCTTGCCCTCAGACTATGCAAGTCAGCATATGATTGGTTGCCAGTAGTAGGAGGGTGGGAAGCATATGTTGTGGTTGCAGCCCATCAAGTGCTTCCTTAACCACTCATTATGAGAAGAGGAAGGATAATCTTATACAGTGGTACCTCAGGTTACATACGCTTCAGGTTACATACGCTTCAGGTTACAGACTCCACTAACCCAGAAATAGTACTTCTGGTTAAGAACTTTGCTTCAGGATGAGAACAGAAATTGTGCTCCGGCAGTGCGGTGGCAGCGGGAGGCCCCATTAGCTAAAGTGGTGCTTCAGGTTAAGACCAGTTTCAGGTTAAGAATGGACCTCTGGAACGAATTAAGTTCTTAACCCTAGGTACCACTGTAATACTGAACAACAATTTAAGCAGCAACCGTACGATCGCCGCCAAATCTATTTCCAGCCCCTTGCCATTTAAGCTCATGGAATCTCACTATATTCAAGGATTTCAAGTGAAATAAAATTAAAAGCATAGTGCAAGCTACGGGAGTCCTGATCATGGTAGAAATTTATTTTAGCAGCTACATGTATGTCACAGAGGGGGTACCACATTGTTGTCCCTACATGGAATCAAGAGGCAACACACTTGCTGGATTTACTAGGGTCACATTACTGATATCACTGCTGTGATGAAACATGTCCTTTGAGTTCAGAAAAACTTTGTTTTCCTGAAAAAGAGGCTTCCGTTTTTCTGCTTCCTTCTCAGGACACTTTAGAATTGTGTTGAGTGTGGAATTGACCTTACCTAGTTATTGAAAGGTTCTCTCTCTCTCTCTCTCTCTCTCTGTGTGTGTGTGTGTGTGTGTGTGTGTGTGTTTCTTTCAATAAAACATTTCTCCAGCACTCTAGTTCAGTTCATATTGGATTTCATGAAGACCACATTCCTGGAGCATCACTAGTTTAGCACGATTGCTTCTGACAAAAGCTGGCTCTTCATTCTCATTTGTTATGCACTGAGTCATAATTCTTTTTGATGTACTATAGAATATACTACACTTCATCTATCAACACCCACCCACCACATCACTAGTGGTTAAGGGAGTGTATGGTTGTTCCTTAGTCTTGTTAATAGGGAATTTTACGATTAGCGTGGTGCTGATCACCATCTGCGGATAGAAAGGGTTCTTCCATCCACTGAAGGCATTTAATCCAGTGGAGGAATTTCATTGGCAAAGGGAGAGGTATTTTTTCTGTTTCCACTCCCTCCCTTCATTCCCCAGTTCTACTTCCCACACTGCTCCAAAGGTTCCCCTTAACTCTCCAAAATAATCTGTGAGGTGGCTCTTGGGACCTGGGGTGGGGAATGTCCCTTCGGTCGGGAAGGAGGAGATTTTTAAAAAAAAAAAATGGGAAAAAAATCAAACCCAATTTGCACTTATTTAACCAGTTCGCAAACTTAAACGCAGCAATCCTTTGAAGTTCACACTTCTCTGAATTTTTCAATAGTGTTCTCCAACCAAATAACTCACCAAAAGTGCATATTTGGGTAAATTGCTTGCAAAAATTTGAAGATTAGTTAAAATGGCATACCAAAGTATGTTTATCAGGAGAAAAATGCACTTACATGCTCAATAATTTTCGAGATTTTTTAAAAAAACGAATTTCTGCATAAATGTGTAGAACTGAATTTAAGAATTGGGGGAGGGGGGGAGAGACGAGAAATATAGATAACCCAAACTGACAGATTCATTCATCCCTATCCCTGGATACAACTCTGCTCCATTGATGATTCTGGCCTTGGGAGTGGTCTGGATCCAATCCGATGCAACATAATTGTTGTGTTTCTTTTAAGGTATTATTATTATTATTATTATTAATTATTATTATTATTATTATTATTATTATTTATACCCCACCCACCTGCCCATCTGGCTGGGTTTCCCCAGCCATTCTGGGCAGCTTCCAACAAAATATTAAAATACAATAGTCTGTCAAACATTAAAAGCTTCCCTGAACAGGGCTGCCTTCCGATGTCTTCTAAAGGTCTGGTAGTTGTCTGGTAGCATCATGCTAATACCTGCAACCTGAAATTCTGAGAAAAGGTTCATTTAGCTATTAAGTAAGATAATTACTTAATAATTATCTTAATTAAGGGACATGGATTACTTACAAAAGGGATGTGGGTGGCGTTGTGGGTTAAACCACAGAGCCTAGGGCTTGCCAATCAGAAGGTTGGCGGTTCGAATCCCCGTGATGGGGTGAGCTCCCGTTGTTCGGTCCCTGCTCCTGCCAACCTAGCAGTTCGAAAGCACATCAAAGTGCAAGTAGATAAATAGGTACCGCTCCGGCGGGAAAGTAAATGGTGTTTCCATGCGCTGCTCTGGTTCGCCAGAAGCGGCTTAGTCATGCTGGCCACATGACCCGGAAGCTGTACACTGGCTCCCTCGGCCAATAAAGTGAGATGAGCGCCACAACCCCAGAGTCGGCCACGACTGGACCTAATGGTCAGGGGTCCTTTTACCTTTAAGATAATTACTTTCAATGTTTATCTTTGGCAGAGGAGGATGAGCAAATGTCTAGGCTGAATTATCCTGAGTTCTTATAGTAGAGCATGCTAATCTTTTAATAAACACACCCACAAACAGACACAATCCAGCCAATAGGTAAGCACAGTCCAATTGATTTTTCAGTGGGAGTGTTAATCACCTTCATTAATCATTCCTATTGAAATCAATGTGACTTAAAATTTGCTTAACTTTGTGCCCACTATAATCTAATTAAACCTCCTCACTTTCATAATGAGAATATTGCTGCTAACTTTTTATTCATTATCTTAAGAAGTATTGAAATTATTACTGTACTCTACTGATATTACGAGGCTGTCAGGAGCCTATGTCCAGTTTATTTCATTGCCAAAACAACCCATTTAGCACTATTTTCCCCTTCTCTTCCTAGAAAATTTCCTCCTACTCTTGTTTCAGCAAGTCTTCTGGAAATATGAAGCAAACAGCATGTTTGTGCCTTTACCAAAACTTCCATGCCCAATAAGCATGGGACGCCTTTGCCTGGCAGTGCTGTGGTCCCATTGTTGTTGTTGTTTAGTTGTTTAGTCGTATCCGACTCTTCATGACCCCATGGACCAGAGCACGCCAGGCATTCCTGTCTTCCACTGCCTCCCGCAGTTTGGTCAGACTCATGTTTGTGGCTTCGAGAACACTGTCCAACCATCTCGTCCTCTGTCGTCCCCTTCTCCTTGTGCCCTCCATCTTTCCCAACATCAGGGTCTTTTCCAGGGAGTCTTCTCTTCTCATGAGGTGGCCAAAGTATTGGCGCCTCAACTTCAGGATCTGTCCTTCCAGCCACTCAGGGCTGATTTCCTTAAGAATGGATGTGTTTAATCTTCTTGCAGTCCATGGGACTCTCAAGAGTCTCCTCCAGCACCATAATTCAAAAGCATCAGTTCTTCGGTGATCAGCCTCCTTTATGGTCCAGCTCTCACTTCCATATATCACTACTGGGAAAACCACAGCTTTAACTATACGGACCTTTGTTGGCAAGGTGATGTCTCTGCTTTTTAAGATGCTGTCTAGGTTTGCCATCGCCTTTCTCCCAAGGAGCAGGTGTCTTTTAATTTCGTGACTGCTGTCACCGTCTGCAGTGATTATGGAGCCCAAGAAAGTAAAATCCCATTAGATTGCAGCAAAATACTAGGCAAGGTTTTGCCCAGTGTCTTCTTTGTGTGGGGGGCTCATGGAGAAAAGCCGTCCCATGAGCAAGGGAGAGGGAAATGTATATATAAGGCTGCTTCCCCTGGAGCTCACAGCCATTTTGCTTTGAGGGCTTCCTGCCCACCTTCCCTTGGGTTA